CCGAGGGAGCACGTCCAAGCGATGAGGGAAACCTTTTCAGACCTTATCTGGAACGCCCACGATGGGCTCAGAGAAGAAAAGCTCGCCGCGGGTGTCTTGAACCCTATCGCAAAGCAGACTGACACCCAACTGGAGATAGATCCCCCTATGCTGGAAACGGATCTGCTCCCTCGAGAGAAGGGGGGTGTCCAGAGGACTGGAACCCCGCCTGATCCACGATGGGGTGCGGAGCCTCAGGCTTCCAGCCCTAAGAAGAAAGCTCCGCCATCTTCGGCGACGCATTCCGAGGATCAGGAGATGGCTCCTGCTCCTCCGGATGCCTCTCAGGAGGCGTCTTCCTCCTCTGCAGCGCCTGCGGCCAACGTGACTCCCCCAGCTGAGGCAGGGAGTCCGGAGGTCCGGATCCCTAGCCTCGCGGAGTCTATGAAGGCAGGCTTGGCACGGGAAAGAGCGGCGGCACGCGCCAAGGAGGAGCTTGCTGCTTCGGCCCAGGAGGCCGCGGCTGCGGCTCCTGAGGCACGGCGCGACACCCGCCTTCCTGCAGTGACCAAGGAGGAAAGGGAGACAGCAGAGGCTAAGTCCCTCTCCTCCCTCAAGCGCGCCGTTGAGGAGAGCGGCTCTGAGCGTCAAGGCCCCGCGGCCAAGCGGGCCACCACCAAGAAGGAAGAAGGTGCCAGCGGGGCCGCTGCTCCGTCGAGCACAGACAAGCGGCGACCCGCGGAGCCGGAGGGACCGCCGCCGCCCAAGAAGCGATTCACAACATGGCAGGATACCATGGAGTCGCCGGCTCCCCAACACCGAGTTTCGGGGGTTTACGGACTCTCGAACGAGGTTCCCGGGGCCGATTGGCGCGACGTGGACTGGGATGCGACTCCACCGCCGGGGCCTGGAAGGCCCGGCGCCCGCGACGTGGATCCCAGGCTCACGGTCCCCCTTGATCTCCAACATGATGAACAGATCAGGGAATTCTTCCGAGGCGGTGGTGAGCATACGCTCGAGCAGCTCCTCGCGTTGGCGCGGCGCCGGAGGCGCGCGTTCGTCTACCAGGCTGCGATTTTGTCGAACAGGCCAGTGTTTGAAATCTGGCCCGATTACGATGAAAACGAGCTTGGACCGACACCCGAGCGCGTTCCGCTCCTCACAGGCAAGGTCTGGCCTTGGGGCTGGTGGGATTGCTTTACTTGTGGGCGTGCGAACCCACCAGAACGCAATACCTGCCGGCACCATGATTCCGAGGAGCTCGGAGGTGCCCCCTGTGTGGGGATCTTCGAGGACAGCCTGTACTGGAGCACGCCGGTGGACCTGCGAACGGCGCCGGCGTGGTTCATCGAGGTCTGGCTCGATGAACATAAGGAACGCATAAAGGAGTACCTTTATGCGAAGCGTTCGGACGCGATCGCCGCCGCAATGTCCAACGCCTACTGGACCTGTGGGCGGGACACATGCCAAGAGAGGAACATGTTATGGCGCAAACTGTGCTTTAAGTGCAGTGGCCCTAAGTCGGGCGCGTCGTTCATAACCCACGGCATGCCGCCCCAGGAAGGCGACGATGAAGCTGCTTCTTCGTCGGAAGAGAGCGAGGGCACGAAGATGGAACGGATCGAGCGTTCCATCAACGCCGATCCCCTTGCGGAGCATGCGAGGAAATTCCTCCGCTCCGGACGGAAGAGGCTCCGCGCTGAAAAGCGCAGGCAGGCAGAGCTCTCTCAAGACTCTGCCCGAGCCTGGTGGAGCCAACCTTCCTCCGGGCGCGGTGCACCCAGTGGGGGCCGCAGCTCTGGCAGCAAGGGTGGTGGCAAAGGTGGTGGAAGGGGAAGCTCGAACCGCTACGGCAACCGAGGATGGTGGGCCGGAGGTGCTGCCGGACTGGCATACTCCTCCCGACTCGGCGAGCGTGCTGGGCAGCCCGCCCTCACGCTCCCACTGCGTGGCCCGGGTGGCCACAGAGTGGCGCCCGAGGCCCCTGCCGTTTCTTCTCGCCCCGCTGTCTCTTCCGGGCCCTCGAACCGTGGTGGGTTCCTTGGGGCCGTGCGCTCGATAGGCGCTGCGGTCTCCAGCTGGGCTCTCTCCAGGAGAGCGCGCAATCGCGCAGCCCACGCCACAACGGGCAACATTGGATGGAAGACGGGTTTGGTGGCCGCTGCGCTGGCGCCTACCCTCTTCACTGTTGAGCGCGGTGCCAGAGAGGTGGCACACGTGAGCCTCACTGCAGTTGCCACTGCGGCGGAGGACCTCATCGAGGAATCCTCTGGTATCCTCGTTCGGGGTGTCCGCGTGGTTGGCTTGACGGCCGTCGTCCTACTGTGGACGTTCGCGGCCGTAGTGCTGTGGTGGGCCGGACGTGTCGCCACTAACCGGCTAATGCACGCCATGAACGGTAACCCCTTTGGGAATGCTGTTCTGGTGTCGCTCGAAGGCCGGGAGGCTGTCTTTGAGGTTGCATCAAAGACTAAGGCCGGAGCACACAGGGTTCTTGTGAAGGTCGGGTCGGGCGCGGACGGCGCAGGCTGCGACTGCAAGGCATTCCTCAACGAGGGACGTTGTGGTCACATAGAACGCGCTGTTGAAGCTGCGGGGCAACTCGTGGCCATGACAGGCGCGAGCGCTGCCCCAACGCTGTCCGTCGCCCCGGCCGCGACTAGACGCGCCCGTGCGATCCTCGGCGCGCCGGCCCTGGAACAGGGGTGCCTTGCCGGCATGGTGTCGAAAGCGAGATCGCTCTCTGAAAGAGCTCGGAATGTCGGGAACCCGTCCGAGGGTTGCCTTGACGGCTTTACCAAGCTCAGAGGCCGCCACGAGGTGGCCACAGTGTCGGCGCCTCCGACAGAGACTGTTCCGAAGACGCCTGCAGCGGAGGCTTCCCGCCAGGGTACCTCTGCGGCGTCTCCGGCTCCGACAGCTCCCATGTCGAGCCAGGCACGGCGTGTCAGAGACTTCCCGATCCCTGACGGCTTCGAGCGAGCCGGGGTCAAGTTTCTGACCCTTCCGGAGTATCACGCTGTGGTACAAACGATGCTATCGGACGCTGGGCATGGGGACCACGTTTACGTGCGAGCCTACAGCTTCGATAGCAAGCCTTTGGTTGGAGCCCTCGTGTCCTCGCTGGAGCGAGGCGCCCGAGCCCACGTGCTTGCCGACAACTCGCAGACGAGCCGGACCAAGCTCCAGCTGCAGTCCCTCAAGGAGCTAGGGGCGGCTGGCGTCCAGGTCCGTGTCGGCAAGGGCACCTCGGTCAAGGCGGCTTACGCCGCCGAGAACCGCACGGACGTGAGCATCGGCGCAGGCCTCGCGGGCATCCACCACGCCAAGACGGTGCTCGTGACGAGGCCGGACTCCACAGTTAGCGCCGTGATAGGAAGCCTAAACTTTAGTGCTAGTTCACGGGCCAACGCGGAGGTCGGCATCGCGGTCGCCAGTGTGCTGACCTCTGAATTTAGCCAAAAGTGGCTAGATTCGTTTGGCACCGAGTGGTCCAAGGCGCTGAAGCTCGAGGAGTTCGAAGCACCTCAGCGGAACCACCGCGGGCGGGCAAAACCCTCAAATGTCCAGCAGCCCGCCGCGCAACCCAACGTGGAGCCGCAGTGACCGTGGACTAGAAGTCGCGGACTGCGCTCCGCCCTTCTAGCCACCTGTGGCAACTTCAGTTTTGGTCGCAGCACCTAGCTGCTTTCCGATGAGACGACAGGGTGGCGTATCCGCTCTACAGGTCTTTGACGGGAGCGGCTAGGGAGGCACGGTAGTGCTCCCGAAGCGCGTGGAGTAACGCCGCAGCTTCAGCTGCTCGTTTCACCAGCCCTGTGGCCGCAGTGCGGCGCAGGCTGTGTACAGTAGGAAACCAGAGCCTCGTGCAGCACAGGCCGTGAAAAACGAAGGTCTTGTGCTGAGTGCGAAGGGTTTGTAGGAGGGCAGGGTCTGTAGGTCAGTTTTACGGCCTCCGGCCGCCCGCGGAATCCTACGGCTCTATCGTGCTCTCGGCTGAGGGGCGAATGTAACTGTACATAGTCTGCGGGCTGGCTGTTGTGCTGTATGCTTTTATGCATGCTCTTCTGTAATTCGTATTCATAACATTTTTGGCTCAAGTGAGCACGGCAGTGTGTCGTTGGTAGCTTCTCGTTGCCGCGACGCAATTGCGCGCAGCCGTCCTGGGCGGACGTTCGACCTGTCACGGTCGTTGGACTTTCTGCTTGGACGGAAAACGAGGGTGCGTGCTGCCCCTTTGGGTTTCCGTTCTCCACAACCACCACCACGACTACTACTACTACTACTACTACTACTACTACTACTACTACTACTACTACTACTACTACTGTACTGCTGTACTGCTGTACTCCTCTACTACTGTACTACTGTACTACTGTACTGCTGTACTACTAGCATTACTAGTATTACAAGTACTACTAGTACTACTGTACGACTCTACTACTGTACTATACTGTAGACGGTACCACCACTACTACTACTGCTACTACTACTACTACTACTACTACTGTACTGCTGTACTCCTCTACTACTGTACTACTGTACTACTGTACTGCTGTACTACTAGCATTACTAGTACTACAAGTACTACTAGTACTACTGTACGACTCTACTACTGTACTATACTGTAGACGGTACCACCACTACTACTACTACTACTGCTACTACTACTACTCCTACTACTACTCCTACTGTGCACGTACAGGTACTCGTACTCCTACTCCTACTCCTACTGCTACTGCTACTGCTACTCCTACTCCTCTCCTACCGCTACTGCTACCGCTAGTGCCACTCCCACTGCCGCTCCACTGCCACTGCCAATGCTACCTGCTGCTACTACTACGACGACAATGACAACGACTACGACTAGTACTTCTGAAACTGCTGCTGCTTGCTGATACTACTACTTATCCACATGCCCGTAGTCGTCGTCGTGATGATTGTGGTGTTGGTCTTGGATGTGGTCGTCCGGGCCACGGCGCATGCAACTGCAATCTTGCATTGACGGGGGATACTGAAAGGCCGGCATCAATGGCACAAGAGCCTCCACCTTTCCAGGCTCGGTGGAAGATGGCTTTTTAGGGTGGGAGATCGGCGGGTGCTGGAAGATAGCGTGAGTCTCTTGATGTTAGTTTGTGTTGAACGCCCGAGGTGTCGCCCACGTGTCAGAACGAAGTTCTCGCGCTCGTATCGAGACGATGGCAAGAGACTGTACGTTGCCGACCTTGAAAGGACCAGCTGCGGCGCCCTGTGGCAGCGAGCGGCGGCCTCACCTGACAGCGTCGGACGTTTTTTGCATGAAGCGAACGCTTGGAGAACTTTCGGTGCATGAGCGCACCTCGAGGACCCTGCAGAATGCCTGCCTTTTCATTGGTTTGCATGTCAGCAGAGTGAGCCATCCTTGGCAAGACTGGAATGGCAATGACTTTAGCTGTGCTGAGGCCCAGGAATGTCGTTGAAAGGCCACCAAGCAAGGTCCGCTGCCGGGTGTGTAGCCTTTCGAATGTTTTGCTCAAGTCGTGCTGTGTTCCCTCGTGACCTCCCACGATGGCAGTTCCCACCGGCGACGGGGGTCCCTCAAGCGCAGGCATCCCGGCCATGTTTGTTCCGAAATCTGCTTTGTGTTGCGACTGCGGAACTCCCAGCTCGAACGTCGTGGATCCAACACAGCAATGATGGCAAAGCAACAGAAGCGGGATGGTGAGACGAGCCTAACATTTGGCGTAATCCTTCGTTTCTCCAGGTTCTGAAAGCAGAGCAATTCAAGAACCTTGACGAGCGCTACCAAGCCCACCCAAGAAGCAATTTACAAAGTCTCTGAAAGTTCACCGTTCCGCTTATCCACTGGGAGGGCAATCGGTGTGACTTCAGCTGGATGGGCGAACGACATCGTCCCTGGTAGCAAGGTATCAGAAGCTACAACTGCAAGCCACGTGCACAGTGCATTTGTGACCGCATGTGAATTGGAGCCAGGCAAACGGAACTTCAGGTCCTCCGCAGGCAGCCCCGTGCTTCATGCGTTCTTTGATCTGCTGCATAACATGAGAAGCAATGCCGAAAACACGCCGCACGCGGTGGTTAAGAAGCAGCAACTTGCTGCACTATCGCGCATCGGAGAGAATCAACAACCAGAATGCTGCACAGATTCTGTCCGATTGCAAATGGAGCTTTAGAGATGAGCTATGGTCAGCCAACTGTAGACGGTAGACCCTTGACTTTGCTCAACCTCTCTGCTGCCCCGGTTTGCTTCGAAGTAGGTTCAGGCATTCCCTACCAGGCTTGTGGACGCTGTATCTCTTCCCATCCGTCGAGCAGAGACATCCAGCCCCGGCTGTTTGAACGAACAGTAGCGGAGGTAGTTGTACGATGAAGAGATTTGCCCGAGCTGAATCCAGGCAAACGGCGCGCCTCCAGTGCCGCCGGCGCAGCAGGCAGCAAGCCTTTCAACTTGTTCTACGAGTGTTCCCATGTCGTGTCGAACGTTCGGTTCTCTTGGGCCAGCAGGCCCTGCACAATTAAGATGGCATGCTTGTGAAGCTGCTTGTGTCTTCCCCCAGAGATAGAGGGTCAGATGTGCACCTTATTACATGGCCACGAGGCCAACGGCGTAGGCCCTGAGGCCGCATGGTGGCACTAAGCGGTGACAGTCACTGCAACGTCTTGCTGCACGGGATAGGTCCTCAAGTAGTGCAGGCGGTGAATCAATAATTGTGATCAGCATGTAACTAAAGCTGTCTGTCGGCTCCGAGAACAGGCACCAACCGCACCCGCGCCAGCACCGGCGCCGGCACCGGGGTCTTGGGTTGCTCCCACGCAAACGTCTGCTCCGACACCTGTGCCTGCCCCAACACCTGCACCAGCGCCGGCACCAGCTCCAGCAGCATGGGTTGCATCAGCACCGCGGGTTGCGACAGCACCTGCCCCAGCACCACCTGCTCCTGCCCCAGTGCCTGCAGCCGCGCCTGCTGCACCAACCCCAGCACCTGCGCAAGCACAGGCACCAGCGCCGGCACCAGCCCCTGCACCAGCGCCAGCACCTGCACCGGCACCAGCCTCTGCAGCACCAGTGCCGACCCCTGCACCAGCACCAGCCCCTCCAGCACCAGCACCAACCCCTTCGCCAGCGCCAGCGCCGACCCCGTCACCAGCGCCAGCTGCCACCGCAGCAACCCCAGCACCTGCACCAGCACCTGCACCAGCACCTGCACCAGCACCTGCACCAGCACCTTCACCTGCAGCAGCGCCTGCACCAGCACCTGCACCAGCACCTGCGCCAGCGCCAGCGGAAGCGCCAGTGCCTGCTTCTGCACCTGGAGCGTTCAAGCCTGTTCAGTTGCCCAGTACACCACACCTAGTCTTCCCAATTGATGGAATGCTCAGAGGATGTTGCCCGTGCCTCGCATTGTCACTTAAATGTTAGCTCCAAACTTCACAGCGCGAAGAAGGTTTCAGGACCGCAGATTGACTAGAATCAGGCGACAGTTCCCCGCAAACTGAGGCATCCAGCAATCCTGGGACAGCTGATGCCAAGGTGAGCCTAGCATCTACGTAAAATCCTAAGGTGTTGCCATTTCTTTATATCATAAGCGGGTCGCACCCGATGGCTTTGTCCGGCTGTGCTGTGCGTGTAAGTATGTAACTGTTTGTTCGCGGAGAAAGATCCTGGAACTTGGATGATCGGAGCTACATTGCGTTGCCCTTGGAAGGCGACCATGCCCCAGAAGCAGCCCAGCGAGGCGCTGATGGGAGACGAGCTGCAGGGAAGCCGCCATGTTCACGGTGCACGGTGCTAGAGGAGCCTGCAGCTCCGAGAGCGGGGTCAGCGCCTTCGCGGCCTTCAGCGCGGGTCTCAGCCCTCAGCCCTACTCCATCCTCTTCACCATTTCTGGCGGCGGCATGCGTAGTTCGCACTTGCAGCAATTGATGGTTCCAGCTGGCATGAACTAACATTCTCGAAGCGTGTTGCATTATGCCTCATCAGGACGCTCCACGAGCAGAAGATTCTGAAGAAAACCGGCCTCCTCCTCCAGATTTGAAGGAGCTCAAAGTGAGGCGCTGCTCACCAGTTTGGGTATACTGTTTAGGGCTCCTGTGCAGCCTCCTGCCTTCAGCTGATAGGATCTGGAGAAAAGGAAACAAGGTAACCTTACAAGGTATGGTATGGCGTTTAGCTGTTAGGCTGGAGAGAGTATATGCACCAAACTCCCTAAACTCCCTGCAAGTCAGGTCACTAGTCCCACAGCCATAGCTTGAGAACAGGAATCCAAGACCCTGAAGGCATCAAGAGTCCGCACTCTGAATCCCAAACTCTCAGACCCTGAGTCTGGAATCCAAAGCTTACCTGCGCGGCTGCTAATTAAGGTGGTACAGGGCCCAGCACATCTTCATCTCACTTGGCTTGACCATGCAATTCACCGCAGGTTCATGGATGGCACCAGCGTGCCAGTGCAGAGCCTGGAAGAATGCCGTGTCCTGGAAGATTTGGCTCCGGATGAGATCTCTTGCAGGCGCAATAAAGAAACGACCGGCAGCATGAGGGCCCATGCAATCGTCTGCATGTTGCCGTGCGCCTTCAGGAAAGGAGCTACACTCTGCATTCTCCGGGCAGATGAGAAAGAATTTCCCTGGGCCTTCGGGGTGGAGCCGAGAGGCCGTAGTCATGAGACGCTAAACGGTTTAGTGATGTCCGAGCACAGACAGAACAGGCCGGCTGACTGGCTGGTTCCGGTTGAGCAAGGTCAACAGGCAGCTCGGCCCGGATGACTTGATCGCGACTGTGATGTTGGCGCGGAAGTCTCGCTTTCGTCTGGCACCGAGGTTCTGCGACATCTAAGGGATGCTTCGCGACTCCCACCAAGCTCAACATGCAAGAGACTGCAAGAAAGGTCCGCCTCTTAGCGATTCCCCAGGCCCGCATGGAGTTTTTTGGGTTTAGGTTTTGAGCAGATACAGGCTTACAGGAGTTGCTCCGTTGTTTAACGTTTCCTGGATTTAGGGAATCAGTGTCTCCGCAGTTCAAGGCTGCAAGGCTTTGGGGGGTAGAGTTGAAAACAAACAGCCTGAAGGAGTTGCGAGCTGCACGATGTCAGAAGCCCTCAACTCCTAACTGTTTTAGGGTTTGGTGTTGAATTGAATCCTCAGGCCAGCCGCTCACCGGCAGCGAGTCGACGTCCTGCACAACTGAGACATGCCGCGGAATTTAGCATCCTTATGCCAGCCAGAATGGCCGGCGCCTAGAGAGACAGCGATGTCACGGGGGTCTTCTAAAAAAGACATATGCAGCTGCAGTGCACCAAGAGCAGCCGCTGTATTGCCTCCGAATGCACTGCCGCTTTGAGAAAGTGACTTCGTCACGCTTCCTTCGGTGCCATGGCCCATGGCCCGCAAGGTACAGCTTCCAACCCGGCGAAGCCGTGCCCAGGCAGCCGGAGAAAAGCTTCCCCGCGGCTGCGACCTCAGTCTGAAAACTCGAAGCGAGCCTTTGTTCAAGAAGTCCGGCAGCAAACCGCAAAGTCTTCGGCAACATGCAAGCAAGCCCGTTTACAGCAGGGCCTCCACGTGGATGCATATGATTCTCTGCACGCATGGGTTTATTACAACCTGCTTCTGTAAATGGTTGCTCAAGCCCCAAATCAAAGCGCTCCAGAGCCTAAGCCGAAGCCATGAACGTCCGAATTTTTGAGGTGAACACTGCGGAGGGTTGCGAGTGGAGCTCGGATGGGTCTCTCTTGGGTCTTGTCGACCCTGCTGGCGGCGTCACCGTGCATCTCGGCAACAGACCAATTTCACTCGCGGAGGGATCTTGCAGTGGCAAGCGTCGATACTCCCGACATGGGCCTGTATTGCACATGAGGACGGAATACTGCTAGCTGTCAGTTCGCTCTTCCTTGATCCTCAGGTACAGCGCCGCTCAGGGCTACGAACCCGTGTGCCAGGCAGGATTCTTCTTGCGGCCGTCGCGGCCGGAGCATCCAAAACCCCAAAGCTGCTAGGTCCCCCCGCTGGTGGGCGGCCCGGTGAGGCCTGCATTCTGGCTCCTGCCGTGCGAAACGGGTTCGAAGGAGGTGTGCCCGAATCACGGGCACCAAGACGGCAACACGATGATGCACCCATTTCAGGCTCTTCACATCAACCATGCTGAAACCTGGCACATCTGGAGAGTAACAGACTAACAGCAGGCGGAGGCTGGTTCAGGGTTTTGCCGAACTGCCACGGCAACTTCGCAGCGACAGGAATTTTTACTTTTCCCCTTTGGGCACGCACCTCGTGACCTACGAGCGCTGGGTCAAGGCGGGAGCTGAGCACCTCCTGCAGCGGATCTTGCAGCCTTCTGAACTTCGCAAGAAAGGACGCCGGTGACAACGTGGGCGTCTGGGACACGAAGACAGGCTCCCCCAGGGTGCCAAACTGCCGAGACGCTGCCAGACACTGCCGTTTGTGCAAGGCGAGAAGCGCTTCTCGTTCATTCTCAAGAACATGACCGCCCCGCCCGTCATGTTGGCACAGAAAGTGGTCGAAGGGCCGAGTTGCTGCGCTAAGTCGGAGCTGAGACTGCCAGGGGATGACCTGGCCACCTCTGAAATGGACAAGTCTGGAGACGCACTGCTGCCGAATGGTGCAGGACGATGTTCTCAAAAGGGAAAGCGCGAGGACTAAGAAGAGCAAGACTTTCAGCAAACTCGGCCTGTGACATAATCCTGTCGATTGGCAAGCCCAAGCCGAACTCCCGAGCTGTTGCCTTTGGAGCGCAGAGGACGGCGTCCAGATCTTGCCAGGCTCCTGCGAGCGGTCGGAGGCGCGAAGTCCACGAAGCCATCCGAGCACAGGGCATGGTGTGCATAGGGCGTAGCGTGGAGCGAGGCGAAGTTTGAAGAACGGTCGTGGATCAACAATCCCGCATCCTGCAGAGGTCTTGCGCATAGATGCGCCGGGGATCATGGCATTCGAGGCACGCGGGTTGTGGACAGACACCTCCTCTCTTTTGCAGAGGTACTGCGAGCACCTTTTCGGGTGCTAATACTCTCCAAACTCGACAAGCCACCGCGTGTGCTCACTCTGCACACAAAGAGTGTCAAGTCAACATCCGGATGAGATCAATGCAAAAAGTGCGGAAAAGTCACAGCTGAAGTGGTCTCACTGGATATGAGCGGCGAGCGCTCGTCTCAAACCTCATAGAGGCAAGCCTGGGGTTTCATCTCTACCAAACGCGAAAAAGATAAGAATGGACAGCTGTCGTGGCCGAGTGCCAGAGCAGACAACATTCCAAAACATCTATGTGTGCTATAAGACGAGTGCTGCTTGTAGTCGCTGCGAGTATATGCGGTGTCTCTGACGGGAGCAGCCCTTCTAGGAATCTAGGACCGCCGAAACGAAACCGGGGATCTCCTGCGAGGTCTCACCCCGTGGATCCGGTCCCCAAGGCCTGAGCTTCAGGCTTGTGAGGATTGGGTGTCGGACACTTGGGCCTCAGGGCTTTCGACTTTCAGGGCGTGTTGGATGTAAGTCCGGGGGTGAAGAGGGTCCAGGGCTTTGTGCTTAGCGTTCGGCCTCGCTGCTCAAGTCGCCAGGTAGCGGATCTCCCCATGTGGCGCTGGTCGTGGCCGAGACGAAGGGCCAGCCCGCCAGATGTCAGGCGGCAAAGTGGTTCAGCTAAGTAAGAAGGCGAATCTCACCACGTCTGTGTGGAGCTTAGCCTTGTCTCCAGCAATTACCCGGAACCCCGATGAACGCCACCTAACTCCGGGTCTTGCGATTCGGTGGGGTTTGGTTCCTGCTCGTGCCTCAGTTTAACCGCGTACTGGAAGGATGAGCATAGTTCGATCAGTTCGATCTTCCAAAGCGTTTTGCGTTTACATGCGCCACTTCGAGACAAAAAATATGCCCCAAAAGCCCCTGAAGCCCCAAACTCCCAAAAAAGCGCCCAAAGCGCCCAAAGCGCCCACGGCGGGGCCCACGGGGCACCTCTGCGAGTCGCAGGTTTACAAGCTGGATGATCCCAGCAGAGCATCTCGGACTCGATGTTCGGAAGTGCTGAAGTAGTAATTAGTAACTCTACACATATACGCTTATGTGTATACATATACATATATACACATATAAGTCTAAGTCGACTAACCCTACACGTATAGATATACACTATGCTATACTGTACCGCAGTACTCTCTCCAGACTCTACTCTACTTACTTTGCTGCATTCTACAGTACTAAACCGTACGACCACGCCATGCTCTTCTCTGCTCTGCTCGACTTTACTGCACCATATCACATGCAATATTAACATAATATGTAATATATACATTGTAACGCAATATGAGACTTTGGGTGCAAGACTTGAGCTTGAAGTTGACCCACTCGCCGACCACTCCGCAAGATCACACTGCAGATCCGCCAAGCTCTGTTTCGGAATTGCCCTCTAGACACTTCAACGGAGCGCCCTGGGCACGAAATTGAGGCAACGGCCACGAAGAACTTCTTCAAGGCCAAAGGGGATGCAGGTTCAGGGCAGTTGTGCTGGAAGATGCACAGTTATATCAGGATGCGAGGCAATGCCCAGATGTTGGTTAAGGGCTTAGGGTTTAAGGCCTGTGTGATAGGCTGAAGTCAATGCCAATTGCAAGTATGGTGCTGGGAACGGCGGTTCAAGTTAGCCTCTGCAAAGCTTGGCAGAGCAGGCAGATAATTTCCACAAAGCTAGGCACCAAAGCCCCGCTGCTGACGCTTGGAAACCGGGCCGTCGGATTTGAACATCCCGGGATATGCGAGGATACCTTTTGAAGAGTAAGTTGATTTCCGTTTGACACTTGCGTGCAATTCCAGGCCCAAACCGTGTGCACCTCAGCATGTGGTCGGTGGAAAGTTCGGGCTGAGATCCTTGAAGTTTCAACCGGCTTGTCATGCGCATTCCGTCTGAGGCCACCGGTTCGCTTTTAGCGCAATTTCTTAGTACAACTCTGGTTGGGTTGCGTAAGCTGGTCTTTCGGTGCAGATCAGTTTGCAGTGCTTTCAGCGCAGGTTTCGGTTTCGACGGTCGTCCTCCTGGCTGGCTGATTTCGCATTATGCCACAATAAAACTGTGCTGAGGTTGCTAGATGTAGTTTCATAGAAAGATGAGTCTTGCGAATTCGTGTTGAATCCGGAGCTTTCATTTCTGTGCTTGGAGGTTGCTCGGTTTGCAGGCGAGGCATCGCCATGGTTCGCGGCTACGCATATTTGGTCGCAAGGAAGGAAACTCCTCTGGTTTCTTCCTTCGCTGGCAGTGGTCTTTCCGCAGCAGCAGTCTTCTGTGAAGAAAGACTCTAAGCGGGTAAAGCAATGGGACTCAGGTCACCATGAAGTGGAACAATGTTGGCACGGCAGTACTGGTGAAATCCGCCATGGAGGCCCTTGACTACAGCCTTCGGGAGTTTCCATGGATTGGAGTGAAGGTCCGTCTCTTTCAGGAGCAACCGGTTTTCGGATTCTATGAATCTCAAAGACTTGGACGAGTCCTTGCCAATTATTTTGATGAATGGCGCAACACCCAGCCCGACCCGAGCTTTTCCTGTTTAAGTCCGCTCGAAGCCTATGTATCGGATCGGGTGAGGCAGCCGCCGGGCAGTTTGGCTAAGACCGAGCTCATCCGCAGCGGCTTCCGTGCTAGCTTGCACTTCATGCACATGGCACGACGCGTAATCAGCAGTCAACCACAAACAGCCCGAGTTTAACTGCCGATTTAGTACCCCTCCCGTTATACTGGTCGCTGACACCGACGGGGCTGGAAGGGACAGTTCAGCAACAGGAACTTGCCCTTGACAGGGGCCTAAAGTCACAGGTCAAAACGTTGGTGGCTCAAGTCTACTGCAGTCAAGTTGTTCGAAGGTCGATGACACTGGGAAAAGCTACTACGGCGGTGCAAATCTCTACTTTCTGCGTGCAGACGGCGAAGAGGCTGGCAAACATGCCCGGATGGCTCGAGGTTTGGAGTTGTAAATGTGGTGCATTGTAGCACTTTTGGCCTTCGTGCCGGTGCTTGTGACCTGTGGCTTGGGGCAGGAGGGATCTCGATGGGAATAGTTGAGTAGTGTTTGATCACTGGAAGATCTGTAAGCCCCGACGCCCCACTCCAAAAAACCCTCTGCTGCTCAGACGGCCCTCGTAGCATCCGCTGACGGTGGGCCAATCCACGACGCGCAGTGGAGCCCAACTCAGGACGGTCCCGTGGATGGCGCATGGCGGTTGTCATGGCTTGTCAGCCGAAGGGCTGTTGACGACTTTTCTGAGCACCTAGTCGAGACTCAACGTGGGCAAAGGACGAGTTCATCCTGCTGCATGGAGAGCTTCCATGCCCGGCTGGGCTCTACGAAGGCCGCAAGGTCTTCCTGCATGATTGCAGCTTCGGCTAAGCGTTTCGAAGTGCCGTGGGTTTCTTGATTCGGTTCTTCCTCGTATTCAATAATGATTCTGCACTGGGAGCGTGTTCCGACTAGGTTGTCGTTCTCGAGTCTATCCGTCCTTTCCGTTTTAGCTCGGCTCGACACTCAGCGCCAGGATTGCAGTAGGGCTTGAGGGGGGCGACCCTGCAGCCCAGACAACCACGCAATGCAGTGCATCCAGATTTGCCAGGGCAACAAGCGCGTGGACTTCGGCAGCGGACATCGCAACACCATCAGGCACCGAACCGAAAGTCCGTGCCAGTATGGATGCTCTTGGTTGGGGTTGAACGTTGGGCGACTTGTCAGGGCGGTCGGCCGGGGGTCCTGTGAACGGATACGCCGCTCCGGGGCACGAGATTTAGGCCTTTGGGCTTGGCCGGCGGCCGGTTCTGCATTCGGCCGATTAGGCAGGTAACCTGCACTTCCAAGCCCAAACGCTACGTTCACCCTTGACGGATCTAAGAGCGAGACTAGGCATGTTATGTTGCGCTGGTTGGCGGCCTTGCTTGTGACCCTCCTGCATGCTTGTGTTGCATCGTGTTGGAAGCCGGGTGAAGGTGGAACCCTTTCGGCCGCTTCTTCGTGCTCGGTGGTTATGGGCAATTGCTGCTTAGCTCAGAATCGACAGGTCGTTTCTAGCATCTATGTCTGCTTCTTGATTGAAGTTTCCGACATGGGAGAATAAGCCAGGGCAATTCCGTCCAGCTGCCTGACCAGACATTAAGGCTTGGAGACACCGACTTCTGGGACAAGCCTGGGAAGCACTTAGTCCAGAATTGATGATTTCAGCGTGTGTTGCTTGCAAAACTGCGGATCTTGAAGGGAACCGAAGCTTCCAAAGGCTCCTTCCCTGCCCTCTGCATTGAGGCAGCTGATGGCAACCCGGCGAATGGAGCATCATGCCCGGAGAACGGAGTTTAGACACTTGGGAGTCTAGGTGTGGCATCAGGCATGTGCACCTATCGAACTGAGATTGACCATGCTCCAGCTACAATTTCGTTTCATCACAGATCGGCATCGGGGCATCATTGTGGCGGCTCTGCAGTCGGGAAAGACTCGGAGATGGTTGGTTCATCAACGATTTGCTAGCCACGGTGCCGAGGTGTTGTGTGGTATGTGGCTGGGCCCCAGATGGGAGGCACTTCCTCACTGCCACTACGGCCCCGAGGATGGGTCAAGGTTGACAATGACAATGCGTGATCTTAGTGGACGGCCGGAGCTTGTAGTCTCGCATGCTTCGTTTGCAAATCTTACTAGCATGAGCCTAGCACGAAAGCAGCGTCTCACGATCTTGAAAACGTTGAGGATGCGCGTGGACAACAAGATTGAGCTCTTCGACTACCTTGGTGCCCCACTCGGCAAGCTGGAGTTCGACGAGCTGCTCCTTGCAGGCACATCACGTGCAATGACGGCAGGGAAAGGAGCACCGAGTGGACACAATCCTTCATGGCTTCATGTCAACGTGCCAATATCGCTATCGCATTGTTTGCTTCGTTACACAGAAGATCACGGAGTATACGCTGCAATTGCTGACCAGCCGAGAGCTGCTTCTACCGCGTTTTCACGATGAAGATCACAGAAGTAAATGACGCAAATTCGGTTCAAGTCGGCAACGTCTATGTCGTCACCCACCTAAGCAATCCAGGTGAACGGTTTGAGCGGGCTCTGGAGGAAACCGAGCTGCAGCCCAGCATCGCCGCCAACCCACCCCCAACCTGGAAAGCTTCAGCATCTCAGCAGTTCCCAAAAGCCTCTGACATTCGCCTTGCATGCCTTTAGAGGTACGTACGTACGTAGGTATGTATGTACATATGTAATTACTCTCTCTCTCTCTCTCTTTCTCTCTCTGCCTAATAGTTAGCGTGAGTATGTATATATATATATATATATATATATATAGAGAGTGTAAGACATTACGGGCCCCATATTTTACGAGTAAAACCACGATTTTCGTGGATTTTATAACTGAAAAGTAATTACTAAGATATACAATATTAACATAGCGAACTCTTCCATAGAATACAGCTGTTATCAGAAGGCAACACGACTAGCAATCGAACATACCCGTAATCTCCGAAAATAATGCTGCCGACACCCTCATCCGAGCTGAGGCTGTGACCTCAGTATGTATCAGCTCGAGACTAGTCTTTCAGCATGTATCCTGTATTTGCAATCCGGACTCAAAGCACACATGCATGTTTCTTGCAATCGGTCAGGTGTTGCAGCTGTAACAGCAGAGTCATCAAGGTGACTTTGTTGTTTGAAACACATTTGCGTGACCTAATTACGAATTTGATGGCGAATACCATCTGCGTACCACACTTCATCCTTCTGTATGATGTCCAGGAAACAATAGGACAAAACATGTAGCATGACATTGTTGAAACAAGAGAATGTAAGAACATGTGATATGCCGAAGTGTACGTGCACAAACTTGATACATTTGCGCAGTGTTCTGTGGTGAGTGTGCACTGTGATACACGCGGATAGCAACGACGCGACATCCAAACCCGATTGGACAGGTTGGCAAACCTCTAACGCTGTCCCATCACTTCTTGACGATGCGCTTCATCATCTTGGTGGCAGGGGTCTTCTTGACGTGGCGCTTGATCACCTGGGTGGAAGGGGTCTTCTTGTCCGCGAAGGCGCTTTTGGAAGTCGCAGAAGACGCTCGTGGGGATGATGCTGGGCGTCTGCATGTGTACTTCTTGCAAGCTGGGCGCTTAAGCAAGCCGCTTGTCATAGCAGCTTGCTTCCTGGCGGAGAAAGGGTTCAAATGATTGCGGTAGCCTTGACGAGTCAAGTCGTTGTGCCTCTGCACATACAGCAAGACGTAGAACGCGTGAGAGCGTGGCGACTTTGTGTTGAACTGCGAGGCATAACCGCGAAACCAAGCAAAGGTTTGCTCGGCGATGGAGGTGTTGATGCCCTCCAGGCGGTTATTCAAGGTCTTGTGTTGCAGGGGAGAGCAGGGACAGCCAGGAGCATGGCCTTTGGCGTGAAAGCGATCAACGCACCAATGCTTAATGTGTTTGGTGCGTGCGTCTTTCCGGCCTTGCTGAACGCATCTACAGGCTCTGTCATAAACGACGCAGTCCAGTTGTGATGACCTCATCGCCACGAGATGAAGGACATCCAGGGCCACCTGATTATTCTCAGGTTGCTGCATTTCTTGTACTGCAGCTATGAGCCCTGTGCGAGGATCTATGGCCATGAACCAGCCGTTATTACGAAGCTTCTCCTTGCCGTCTTTCCGGGGTCTTCCGGCATGCGGTGGAGGCGCACCGGAGCATTTCGTGGCCACTTTCTCATGACCATCAAGAACAATCTCCCGGATGGACATGTGCTCGGTACGCGTCAGCTGATGCTTGTGCCACCAAGAAGTGTAATCCGCCATGAATGGGTCGGTGAGTGGATTGTCCAGGTCGATGGCGGCGAGCTTGTCCTTGGCGTTTGTTGATCGGGACCACATTTTCTCAGCTTCGCGGATCATGTAGTAGTATAAGCTGGCGATACTGTACGCTTGATTCCAGCTCGCATGCTCGTTCTCATCTTGCCATAAGACCTCTTGTTGTGCCCATGCAATGGCATTGTTGCTGACACAGCCGCGAAACTGGAGTGCATCATGGTACTCCAGGAACTCCTTTGCGAAGGCGGTGTTGCTGTTGACAAAGATGACGTCCATCTGATCATGCTGCATTGTGTTAAGCTTCTTGCCACCCTGTTTCCTGTAGTTGTACAAATGTCGTATGCGACAAGACTTCGACGTGCAGCGCATGGGGATGTGCTCAACTTCCTGTACACCCCGCAAGGTGTACAGTCTGGCTGCCATAACGTCGGCAGACGCTAAGGTAGACTGACACTTCACACAGTGTTGCAAGGGCGTTCGGAAGGAAACGCGGAAATCATCATGAACAGCCGTCGCAGTACCCTCAAGCATGTAGGCACGATCGTTGTCCATGGGAATGCTGTGGGGAATGTTCCGAAGTTGAAACCATGTCAACCCAGAAAGTTGACAGCACAAGGATGCCAGGCCATCTGCAGCAATGGACAGTCTACGTGCACCTGCAGTGCTGTCAACAAGCCGAACCTCACCGGATTCCTCGAAAACCACAGCAAACCAATGTCCAGTGCCATCAGACATTTGCTGGTGACAAAGCCACTTCTCCTTCGAGCAGACATGAGTGAGGACGTCAGTCATAGGCTCCAAGATCATGCGGACGGATTCCGAGCTTGGCTGTTGCGAAGCGAAACATATGATCTCGTTGAACTCCTTGGCGGAAAGCGGGCCTTCATGATCAGCGAAGTATTGTAAATCAACACTAGGCTCTACGTTGGCGATGCCATTGAGTAGACAGTTCTGGAATGATGTGATCACATTGCCGTCCAAAACAACACTCAGCATGTCCCGCCGAAGAGCCAGACGGGCTAGTGTCATCGAATGTGTCGATGTGGGCCAGGACTTCACAGACATTGGAATCATGGACTGGGCGCATCGTCGACACGATTCTGACACCAAAATCTCATGTTCCAAACTGGTGCAATGGATGATAGCCCCATCGAAGAGCAACACGCAGGACTGGTTCCCGATGACATCACGGACTTCCTTCAACAATTCATTCTCCTCGAAGGACAACAAAGCCGAAAGTCGACTGAACTCGGGGTTGCGACGATCGGAGTATAAGTCTCGCCATGCTGCTGCCTCTGGATGACGCAATACACAAGAAGCTGCTTTTTGAACCTCATCAGCAAGTTTGAGGATCCAGGGAGCTTCGAAGGAGGGCTTGCCGCCATAGAAAATGCGGATGAGCTCCACCTTTGCATCAGCGACCGGAATGTCCACGTACTTAGCGATCGCCTCCCGCCATGACGCATAGTGCTCCACAAATAGGTTGAGCATGGGGAACCTGGTCTCGTCCCAAAGTTCGAACATCTGGAGCTTTCGCACAAGAAGGCGGGGATGACAACATGCTGCGTCCACTTCGGCCGCGTCGAGGCCGAATGCCACTGTCCGAGCCTCCTTCGTGAGCTTCTGACCTGAAGGTCCACGAGATAGTAGGCGACCATAATGTGGAAGCTTATAGTACTCGACCTGTAGGAGCGAGGAGCTACCCATCTTGGTTCCCATTGCACGATGGCGCTGGAGGTAGTGACGTAGAAGGTCCTGACGGCGATCTGTCTCATGGGCCGCATAGTCCTCGAGGGCGTTGAGATTGATCGTCTCTAACAGGCGACACTCGACAGGCCGCACCAAAGTTGCTTCCGTGGTTTGTGTGCGATGTCGCAACATAGTCTGACGTTGATGTTCAAATGCATTGCCGTCCCATTTCTCCTGCTCATGTAGAAGCTGAAAGGGACAGGTCCAGTCAGCCCACGTCCCAAACACTGCAGAACCACCATGCTGTTCCATCGCATCGACAAGCCGCTGCCAGTCAATCAGTAGTTTGTGAAAGCACGATGAGTCGACCTGATTGAACAAACGACTGTTAGCAAGGTCTAAGGCCTCGACGAAGTTGGACAATTTCGTCTTCTTCCCTTTGGACGATGCGGCACATCCAGGTAGGACCTCGACCTTATGAATGAGATACTCCTTGAGTATTCGTCTCTGCGGGGTGTTGGCATGCACCTTCTGGACAAGAGTCTCCGCCTCTATGATAACGTCAACTACAGTGCCTGGGGGAGGGGTTGTTGCACCTGACAACGACGAGGACAACCAGTTTGTGTCGCGGACTATGTCTTCATGAATGCTGCCAGGGTCGTTGATCATATTCATGATATCCTGCTCACTGTTTTCCTTGAAGAAAGGAATGCAATATTCGCGAAGGTAGACTGCCGCAGTGATGGGATTCGACAGGAAACTGGTGAGCTCATCCTGTGGAATTAACTTATAGATCCCGCGGGAATGGTCTACCTGGCTGTCGTCCATGGTGAAGGTAACCTTGCCCATGAGAAAGCAAATCACACGTCGTCTAAGTTGCTCCAAGCTCTTGGTGCGGTCATTGCTCTCTTCGATTATGGGAATATTTTCGAAGTTGAGCTCTTGAATCTTCATCGCGGAGCCGAATCGTCGCTTGCTCGTGAATCCGAAATTGACTCTGCAGTCGATTTCTTCATCGACTACAAAACGTTTCCAAACATCTGCCACAAACCGCCCACGACTCTCCATCTCCTGGATGCGTATGCTGGCTTTGTTCCATGCAAGTTCAGCTGACTTCCTGAACTCCACCCTGTCAAGGAACACACCGCAGTCTAAAGTAGCAGTGGCCAGGTCACCAAAGAGTGCTCGATCCAAGACCGCCTCCATCCCTTTACCGTCGCCGCCTTTACCCACCTGAAAGATTATCTTTCCAGTGCATTTCTTTGCGAAGGCTGCTTGCATGAAACACAGCTTCAACTGGAAGAGATGTGGGCTACCGAAGTAGAGCGATTCCAGAAACGTTTTCAGTCGCGTACGGACTTCTGCAATGCTGATGTTCTGGTGGTCAGCCATCTTGTTCTCCCAAAAGAAATGGTAGTCAAGCTTCAAGTAGCAATTGGCCTCTGCAGACTTGTTTGCGATGTTCCAATTCT